GTAGCCGCTTTATGCTATGTACGCATTTCTTAGCACATATTAAATTGTTCCTTGGCTCAAACTGACGTGAAATAAAAATCTGCCTATATTCAGATGGAGAGAGTTAAAGAGTAGAGCAGAAATCAAACTAACCCCTGAGACAAGCTTCTTCTGGTTCATTCACCCCCTGGCAATTGCCGTTCCACCTCCCGGGGTGTGACCTGTGCCCACCTCTGGCCTCTTCCTCGCCAAGGAGGAGCAGCTCTACTGCAGGTGGCACCTGGGTTGATACCATCAGGCAGGAGAGCAGCATACTGATTATATATAAATATATATTCTTTTTTATATGTAACTAGCACAGAATTCAGCAGCAGGCACGTGGAAGTGCTGGTCTGGTGTCTGTGCTTTGTATTTCTCTGCACCCCTGCCTTCCTGTCAGTGGCAGAATATCCTTCGCTACTTTCAGGATCTTGCTTGTGACTGAGACTGCTCCCATCAGCTCTGTCCCTCTGGTCACGTAGTTGCTGCTCTACTGATGAAAGCCACTTTGCATGGTCCTCCAGGCCTGACATAAGGGAGAGATGCTGGCTTCAGTGAACTTTGTGTCAAACCCTTTCTCAGGAGCTGGATGCACACCAAAGAACCCATTCCCACAAGAAAGGAGCGTGATCTCAGCATTCTCTGTCTTCCGAGAGAGCTCTGGCTCCCATGGTATAGTTTATTTCATCCATGAATCAGTGGTAAACACAGAACGAAAGCTTACTACTTTTTCAAGCTGGACCTACAGAGGAGAATTTGTTCTTTTTGCTATTTTGAGGCTTTCTATTTTTATACTGCAAGCAAAAGAGCTACCTAAGTATTTAACAAGAACCTCTGATAGCTAAGCACAGGTTGACTGTCAGGACTTAGGGACTGGAGATTGTTTCCTCGTCTTGATTTTTCCAAGACTTTTCCCACCCCTTTTGAGCCAGTAATAAATTGTCCCTGATTTGTCTTGCCTGTAATGTGCCTTCATTGTATTCCACAGCTGAAGCGATTCTCCTGAGAGAACAGGAAGCAGTTTTCTCAAACTTGTGTTTGTAGCATTCTGTTGATAAGGATGGACTTCTGAACTCTTCCTGGTTATCTATATATAGATGTTCTAATAACTGGAATTAGATAAAACTTGTCCGTGTTTTATCCATCTGTTACTCTTTGACAACATTCAGATACAACATGACCAAGGTGGTAAAAACTGATTTTTACAAGAATTCAGCACTGAAAGAAGACTTTGCTCACTTTGAGGATGCTAAAATAGGGGACTTCAAGCATTTTAGATGTGCAAAATGGGTAGCTTTTTGGATTGAAAACTGCTACATAAAGGCATTTGAAGCCTCCTATAGTCATCAGGATTCCTCAGCTGGATCCAGGAATATCATGCAGAGCTGCAGAAAGCCCTGTATGCTTGCTTACTATCTGGCAACACAGTCTTCAGCAGGGCTCTTTGATCCATTCCAAGAACACTTCACATTTTAAGCTACACTCACGTCTTTTAAAATACACTCTGAAGATGTGTTAACGTTTTGAGAGAGTCAGCAGGGTTCTGAGGTGCAGAATATAATAGCCAGGTAGAGCTGAGGCTGCTGCCTGATAGGGACACACACAATGCTATGTATATATTGTATATATGAGCATTGCTGGCCACACTGATCAATGCAGACTGAGGACACACAGCACTCCCACAAAGATGACCTTGCACCCCTGTGGCAGATTGCTGGGAGGCTTTCGTGAAGTCTTTGAGCTGTTCAGTGGGAAACAAAGAGAGCGGCCAGTTCGCCGTGGAAAGATGGATTCGGTACCCTGGAAAGAAGGAGGCCTTGGTGTGTGTCATATTACTCTGAGTCAGCTTTATCACTGGGACGATTTAATGATAAAAGCATGTTTCCTAAAAACACAGATTTACAGGAATGGAATGAAGTCGCTAAAAAAGTTAAAATCACAAAAACATATCACTAAGGGCACACTGAGAGCAAATTCTTCTTTCCTGCTCCAGCATTTCAGGTAGCTTTTAAGGCAAATTAGTTATTTTACAGCCTGTTCTGTAAAGTTGTTAGGCAGAAATGATGAATTACAGGGGTCTGGCTGCTGGGTGGTTACCAGGAGAGTGGTGGCTTTGGGTGTTCCCCTCCAGTTGCTGGCTCAGGAGGGAAAAGAGCTCCTGCCTCTCTCTTGCTGCCCCTGGCCCTGTTCCCCATGGTGGGCCATGGGCAGCCCATAGTGGTGCTGGGCCAAAGTCATGCCAGTGGCCCGATGAGCTTCTCCACATACCACTGCTTTTAAACACCCTGCACCCTCAGGCACTAAGCTACTTCTGTCAGGTGTTGGTGCTCTTAGCATGACATGCAACTTCTATGCAAGTTTTATGTAATGAAAAATAAGAATAGATTATTTTTCCCTGTGCTCGTTGTACTTGAGAACTTGTGCAGAGAAACTAACCCAGATACATAAAAACAAACAAAAAAAAAGGAACAGAGCACCTGGATGCTGTGATCTTTTACTACTTAATAGGCTTAGGGGAACATCTAGGACCCTGCCAGAGTCTGGTTTCTTACTGAGTTTGTTTAATTTTGCTGCACTGGAAGTGGTCTCTTATGGAATTAAAATATTTGAGAGGAAAGCTTCAAGAAAGAGCATTAAGCTTATTAGAAATTTGGAGTTTATGATCTATTTTTAGAACGTGGAAGTATTCAACACTTGGTTCAAATTAAAGCACAAGCCCGTAGGCTGAATCTGTGACTTAAAATGGAGGAAAGGATAAAAGGTAGAGTAGCTTTCAGATGCTAAATGCTCTTTTTGCAATTAGGGGGAAATTTTGCAATTAGGGGGAAATTAGGAAAGCCTTCTGTCCATAATGAACTGAAATTAGTTGGCCCAAGGTGACATTTTCAGTTCATTGCACCTGTTGGTTATGCTGTACGATGAAACAGCTCTGAGCCAGAACTGGGGGGATAAAGTCACCAGAAAGGCGTGCTGGTTCATGCTGAGTAAGGTTGTCCTGAGCTGGGAGCTGTTGAGCCGTGTGAATGAAAAATATCATCATTTAGCCTAAACCAGTGAACTAGTCTTGAAATTAGAAGAGTTTTCATTGCATAATGACCAGAGTGCTTGCCGATACACAAAATCCCAACCACCTGTTGCAGCGGCATGAGCTGTAGTCCTCAGATTTGACCCACCTAAGTACTTCCTGCAAACAAAATGTGTGAGACCAGGATTATAATACTGAAGGTTGCTTGATTCATAGTAGCTGCCGATGCACACTGATCTTGCTCCATGGAAGTAAAACAATTCAGGTGGCTTATTGCACCTGGTGGCTCCTGGTATAGGTCAGTGTTGGCTGGAAACAAGGTACTGGCACCAGAAGAGTCACTGCTGGAGAAAGGAGAATCAGTCTCATGGCTCGAGTGCTTGTTTGGCTGGCTTATTCTCCTTTTTTTTTTTTTTTTTTTTTTGTCTTTATCTGTGAGAACCATTTTATATGGATCTCAGCTGAACTGTCAAAAGCTCTCATATCCTTGGAGGGACTGTCAGCTCTATTCAGTTTTCTTTTACAATGCAAGGAGATTTCCCAGCGACTCGTGCATTGATATCATTTCTTGAAAACCCTGTAAGGATTTATTTATTTTCTACCACAGAAAACACTGGATTGAAATGAAGAAGCTTTTTTTAAAGGCCAGGTATTGATTTTGTTCCTATCGATAGATGGGCTTTTTTGAGTTGGCAATCGATAGTTACATAGGATCTTTTGAAAGTTTCTGGGATGTTACACCAGCTGCAGAGCAATTAACCATTTCAAGCAGCAGTACTTGCTTAATCTGCTTTGGTGGCATCTAGAGAGGCATATGGATGTTCTCCTGGGCAACGATGAGGCTCCACGGATCTTTCAAATCTGGTGGGACTCCAAAAACGAGTAAAAATTCTGTTTTGTAAATTAAGATCAGAAACTATTATTAGCTTTTGTTTGTAGCTCAAGCATGATGTCATGTTTGGCAGAGCACTCCAGTAAAACTCCCAGCTCAGTGCTCAGATCTGTTCTTTCTCAACTGGGTGTCTTCGATGTCTGCTCTTGAGGCTGCCTGTCCCTCCTAACGAGGGATGGCTCTTGCGATACCGGCTTTTTAAGGGCTGGCTCAGTGTTATCGCCCTCATGGGAAGAGGGACGGGAGGCCTTTCTTAGAGCTGGTCATGACCGCCTGATTTCCAGCCACCTTATCTGTACATAAAGCTGGATTAAACAGCTTTAACTTTTTATGCTGGCGTAAAGTCCTCTAAGGCCATTCCAGCTAGACAGTCATGGGCTTTGTGGGAGAGGCACACAGCACTTGCTCTGGCATTTTTTGACTTTTATTCCCATCCTTCTATTTATACTTCTAAATAACCATAATAATTTAGGGTTAAAAAGGAATTGAGGAAGTATAATATCCCAACAAAAACATATGTTTGGAACCGTAAAGCACTGCAGGAAACGATGTTCTTCCAAGTTTCACGAAGTTACAGTACTGTTAACTGCTCTTTATTTAAAGTCCTTTCCAGTCTTGGCTTTTCGTGCAATTAGGGCAGGAGTTGCTGAGTTTTGGAGTAACTGCATCAAGTAAAAACAACTATAATTGTGGAGGAATAATTTGATCTTTAATAAATCTTCTTTTCAGGTATTTGAAGTTTTCCTGAATATTTAATCGAATAAAGTTTGAAAGCTTTCTCCTGCATATTGTGATTACCTACATATAATTTACTATTGCTACAATCAAATATAAATAAAATCTATTCATTGGAAATACAAGTATAAGGAAAGGGGAATATCATATTTCATACAGTTAGGAAAGCATCCTTTCAAACCAGAGACATCAATTCCTGAGGACAATCGTACAAGTTTAAAAAATTATTTCCCTTGTTTCTGAGTACATTGGCCAAATATGCATAAATATTTTTCAAGAATACCATAAGGTTTGCAGCTAAAGGTAAAATGCATATTCCTGTCAGGTGACTTTTTTTTTTTTTTTTTAAACGTTCTGTTCACTTGCTGAAACATCTTCCTTATCCTTTGTAGAAAAATCTTCTTCCCATTGTGGAGTTTTATTCCCTTTCAAGGTTGAAAACGATTCAGTAGCCTGAGGGGCAGAACAGAACAGCCAATATACAATACTGTAATAACGGCAGATTTAAAGCCTGGTAACTTGCAAATTGGTAGCACTATAAAAGAAAGTACTAGAATGCAAGCATTTCCCTGTTCCCAAAGGAATGTACGATGTGTTTATAGATGGTATATCTTGAGAGATGGCATATCACACCATTATTGTATAATGCAGTGCAGAAGAAATATTAAAGAGGTAGATACTGAACACATAAATAGAAGGTAAATATTACAGAAGGGTAATTTATATTTACAAGAGTCTAATCTCTACTGTGAAGATAGATTTCATGAACAAAGATGGGTAAATTAAAGGCAAACGAACAGCAAATGCAGTCTGATAAATTGTCCCCTTACCTTCATTATAGGAGTGAAGGGTCAGGTTATTATCAATACAAAGGAAATATGGCAGATATATCTCACACCTGAGATGGCTCCTGCAACACCAAGCCAGACATCCCTCATACATGGTCCGCAGTATTTCCATTTTGAGGAGCACTGTGCCAAGAACATGGACCAAAGCTTTGGGGCAGCAGAGGTTAAGTGTGGACTTCTTGCTAGTGCCCGCTACAAATTGGGTATTCTCCTCACTGGAGATCTGCCGACAGGTTGATCCAAAACTTCCCTGCAGAGTGTGTCTTACAGAAAACACAGAACAGCCTAGTTTTGTGGAAGGTTATTACTGATACTCACTTAAGATAAACAACATCATTCCTTTGTGCTTTTGCAACTCGTAAGTAATGACATGATGTTGGCCTGCTCTGTTTTAAGCATTTAGACCATAATGGCAGTGCATTTTTGTGTAAGCAATATTTTACATGAATTTGTCATAACTGTAGCAGGTGTCTTAAAGTCAGTAACACTTCCAAAACATTTTTGCCCTTGTTAGGAATCATTACTGTATTGTAATGTGCCATAAATAGTGGAAGTGAAGCAAATGTTCGTCTCCTGAGTGCCTGTAAAATTACTGCCTAGAATATTCAATTTTTTTCTGGGAAATCATCCTTATGTGACCGATCTCTTTTGTTATGTTTTATACTTTTTTTGTATAAAACATGGAGCGGAGCACATGGTTAACTCTTTCTGTCACATCTAATCTGATATTAAAATGACCAGTTTTCAGGGTTGTGCAGAAAAGAACTGCACACGAAGTTATTCCATTCCCATTTTCAGCATCCAAAACTTGAGCTTGGATGGTAAGCATCTTGCAATGTTGCAAGGAAAGGGATCAAAACAAAGTGACACCAAGACAGCTAACAAATGTCACCACCTCACGTACACAAATATCTTTTTTAAATAAATAGTCTGTTTTAAAGAGTACACTGGTTGTTACTTTTAAAAAAGTTTTCCAATGAAAACTTTTATAGCTACATGCTAGGAGAGGTGAAATATGTTCTCTGTAAAATCGTAATCATGCTAACATGGTGTTTTAGAGATGTCATTCCAAATACAACAGCTGTTTTTTGTGTAGATGGTCTTGGTTTCTAAATAATGCGGATGCTTGCATCAGAGGAATGAAACTTGAAAACTGTAATATAAATATTTTTAATCTCAGAAGCTTGCTGTCCTGCTAATATGCATACATATGTGTGTGTGTGTGTATATATGTATATGTGTATATATATACATGAATTTCTGAATGTGCTCTTAAGTGCTATAGGCTGATGTTACCTGAGACTTTGTAGGAGTGAGACAGAGGAGCTGACAGCTTTCTGAGCATGTTCAGTGCTCTGCTCCATATCCTCCCAGATGAGAAGGCACCAGGATTTAGTTTGCTCTGCCTGTTGCAGAGGGCTTAAAACCTAAACAGGCAGCGAAGGGAAAAAGTGAAAGCACTGAAGTACACTAGTATAATGGTTCATGTAACTTTCTGCAGTAATTAATCTGTCCTCCAGGGATCCATCACTTTTCTGAATATTAAATAAATCCTGACATTTACAGTTATGTTAAGAGACTGTTTGTCTTATGACCCCGAAGTAATTTCGTTTTGTGGTTCTCTGACAAAATAGGCAATAAGGGAATCAAGAAATTATGTTCTAGATCTTTGCTTTCTGTGTAATCACATTGCTCTTCATAATAACTGGAAGCAGCTTTGTGTGTTACTGACAAATGCTTAGTTCAAACTAATTGTGAACATAAGTAGCCTTTAGAGAATATTACCAGCTTTCAAAGCTTCCTCCATGCCCCAGCTTTAACACCCACACAAGGTGTTCAGTGAAATTTGCTGTCTGAGCAAAATGTGCAGGTGTAGCTTAGGGACATGGCTTGATGGTGGGCTTGGCAGTGCTAGGTTAAAGGTTAGACTAGATGATCTCTGAGGTCTTTTCTAACCTAAGTGATTATGTAATTCTGTAATTATTGCATCATGTAGAAAGCACATTTGACTTCTTAAAATCCAGAGTGGATTTAACTGAACTTGAGATTTCTTTGGTTACTTGAATGTATGATGGAGGAAGCCTTTAGTGGTTATTGCATTATGGATGCCAGGGAACGATGTTGTAATTTACATTAGAAGAGAACAGATAATTTGATGAAATCCAAATCCCATTGCCACCCAACTCTCACCATGTTTGCTAAATCTTAGCACTTATCCAATTGTTATAATTCTGCTGCTCTGCATCCTTCAGCATTGAAATTGGGATGGCAGGAAATCCAGCTGAGGCACTGTTATTTTTTTTCATTGCACAGAGTTTATATTTCAGAAATAAATACAGTTATTTTTACAAAAGGGCAACAATGCATGTGAACATAACATAGAAAAATCACAGTGGAGACATCCAATCCTTATACATTAAATAATCTGCTTTACAAATTAAAAGAGTCACGCCAGTTCCCATCCTATCTGGGACATTTGCTGAGAGACTTTTGAATACTAATGTCTGTTTTGACACAGACTGGCAACAGTCAGCAGTATACATATATATGTACTTTTACTTTTTTTCAAATGTAGATGCACGAACAAACTTTCCTTGCATGTTCTTCAGATTCACTTCTGGATTATTCCGAAATAAAGTAATTGACCTTATAATGACAGCAGAACGTGATGATCCCAGGTGACCTTCTGTGAGGTCAACTGTATCAACCCCAACATTTTATGGCTAAAATAAAACAATCTGTGATTTATTTATTTATTTTTTAACTACAAAATGATGTACTTTAAAAGCAAATGAGCAATTACACTAATTTTTATTAGATATGTGGGCTCTAGGTCTCAGATATATAACCCGTTTGAAAATTTGTTCCCTTTTATTCCCTTGGCTTCCTATATTTCATCCTGAATAAAAAACGTTATTATGGACTGGATGAAACCTTACCAAACGTTTGATTATACCAGTCTTCTCTTATTCAGAGAAAATGTGAGAAGGGCATTATAAAAGCAGCTGATAGCCTGAGAACCTCAACTCCCCCAAATCCTGTCCTTTGGCTCGTGTGGAGGTTTAGCTTTGAGGCAGAGGAGGTGTCCCCTGTCATCTAAAAACCATTGCTGGGACAGGAAGGTGATATGTTGAAAAAAGTGGTGGTCAAGAGAAGAGCATTAGGAAATCAGCACAAAATCAGAACAAGTACTGGGAACAAAATCTGTGGAGAAAAAGTGTGGCAGAGGGGGTGCAGATTGTTGGCAGGATAGGGCTGGGAAACTGTTACCAAAGAAACTATCTTTTCTTTGATTGTGCTGTGCAGCAGGGAAAAGGACGTTGCATGCTTTTTGTAAGAGAGTTGGGTTTTATCAGAGAAATACGTGACTCCAGTTGTGTTTTCTTTTTCTGACAGAAGTAATTTGCAGAAGCAGAATTTTGGCTCTGTGGGTCAGAAATGAATAAATGCTTATATGCATGCCTGTGAGCACACGTTTAATTTACAGTTTGTGACAAGACAAATTAACTAAACAGAATAAGTAGTGAAGGTCAAAATCTAATAAGTTTATATGTTTCAGCATAACATACTTCATGTCAGTGCTAAAATGGTAAAGCACAGCTAGGCATCTAAGCCAATACACATAAAAATGTAATGAATACATTTTGTACTGATTGGCCAAGTTCATCTTGCTCAAACTCCCTTGACTCCTAAAATAACTATTGACCTAGTTCTCAAACTGTACAGGATCAGGTAATATCTTAATTCTGATTTCTTTTGTTCAAGCTTCAGAGCTCTTTCACTTGTAGCTGGCAAATACGCACTGGCAGGGAGCAGTGCCATAGCGAAATACTGCAGACCGAGGAAAATCACCTGCTTGTCCTGGGATTAGTTCCATCTCTGTCTGCCGGAAACGTCAGGCTGGTCTTTCAGTCTCACAATTGGATGCAGATGTTTCCAAAGTGAGAGCAATTTACCTATAGGACATAGGGATGAAGCAGCAAGAAGTGACACTTGTATTTTGCATGTGACTTCTTGTAGCAGAACATAGGGCTTTTTAATTTATTTTATTTTTTTTTGCTTTTCTCTAAAAGCAGACCCAAAATCTGGTAAATATTAGAAGAAGATTGCTCATGTACTGGAAGAGATTCAGGACAGCTGTTTATTTTTGGCCGATTCAATTTTTAAATAAATACTCCTAACAAAATAATAGAAAAATATATGTAGCATATTGTACCTTTGTTTGGCATTTATGGTACAGTGCTCTATGTTCTCATTAAAGTTATCACCCTAATTTTTATATAGCAGTTGGGCATCTGGTCAAAACAATGTGCACTCACCAATAGCTAGGGCTGTGCCAGGAACGCTCAAGCAGTGTGTTTATTACATTGGCTTTCCTTATTGCCCTTGCTTCACTGCATTTTTTTTAAATTTTTTTTATTTGTTTGTTTGTTTGTTTGTTGCTGGGCATCAGTTTTGTTAGCAATGAGTCCAGTATTTGAATGCAGTTACTGGATTACTTCTTTCCCTCTTATTCCCCCCCAAGTCCTTTCTGTGCAGTCTTCTGATATTTGTATTGAAACGGGACTGCAGTAATTTTTCCAGTGTGGATCTACTGAAATGGGAAATTGAGCAGATTGGTGCTTTTCCATTTTTAGTCTTTACATCCTGTTGGATCAAAAGTGAGAGAACAAAAGCACTGGCAGATCAGCTCATAATAAAGATGGCCCTCACAACAGAAAGCTCCCTGCAGATCAGAGGTAGCGGTATTTAACCTGTTGCCATCTCTAAATCTCTGCCCTGTTTCATCAGACTGCTACCAACAGCCAATCTGTTCTGTCCTTTGTGCTAGATGCTTTTTATTCCCTCTGCTTACAACCATGTCCTACCCTTCATGGGTATAAGGGGGTTTATGGGCCCTGCCCTGTCACCTTGCCTCCCCTTTGAACCTGAATCCATGGATGAAATCTGGACCTTCTCGTAGACCTCATTCCTTGCATATTTGTTTAATTCCATGCTGAATCGACTGTCTTCCTGCTCTGGGATTTGCTTAATGTTACTACATTTTCTTTCCATTATTTAAAGTTGCAAAAAAACTATTTCCTGTTTCCTGGTAATTCCTTAATTTAGTACATTTTAATGTATCTGTCCATGTTTCTTTCCTGTGTATATAATAACAAATAGAGAAGAAAATCCAGGATGGTATAAAGAAGAGCTTTATCAGCATTAGCTTGGGGATAGTTCTGTTATTTCTGGACAAAGGCCACAAATGAGTTATTTAAGACATGATGAAGGAAGGGGAGACTATTGTTGGATGCTT